TTTAGAAGACATGGTAAAAGTCTTTATACATTTTTATAATTATTTTTATAATTTTTATATATTATTAAATAAGTAGATATATATAATATTATTAACTTGGGTAAAAAAAAAAGAATTAATTATTAAATGATATATAGAGTTTTATAAAAAAAATTGTATATAAAAATTGTTTTCTAATTATTTTTTTAGAAGACATGGTAAAAGTCTTTATACATTTTAGCATCTAGATTAATAACAAACTAAATATAGTGGAATGGACTTATAGTTGTTGCGTTCTGATCTTAGACTGTACTTGTTTATATTTATTTATTCATAAAATGCACTTTGGTATTTTTGGACTACTTCTGAAATTGGCTAGAAATAAATATTTAATTTATTATTTGAAATTTAATTTTGAATTTTAGAAGTATAAAGCAATAGGTCATTTTTGAAAACCTCTACACCGAGATGTGCCATTTGGTTGGAAATGTGTCTTTTGAAAAAATGACAACTATTTATAAAATTAAAATTCTTTAAACAATATATATTGACATTATCGTAAATCTTATAAATACATTTGTTTAACAAATATTTTCAGAGAGTTTGAGAGTACCATTTTATCTTTAGAAATTTTTTTAATCCTTAAATTAGATAGTGATATTCACTCAGAACAATTTTGACTTCTTGTTGTTTTTGTTCCTATCTATTTTTTCAATAGAAAAAATTGGTATATATTTTGTTTAATAAATTTTTTATATTTATTTTAATTTAATTATTGAAATATAATATAGAGATAATTGATTCAATTGATTTTTATATTCTATATCTATAATTATATATGTAAATTTATTTATTTTTAATTTTAAATTAAAAATAATAATATTTTAATAAATATATTATATAATATACTAAATCAAAATGTATACTAATCATTGCTTCTCGATTATTTTTACGTAAATTCTATACATTTATTAGTTTTATTTTATTAATTACAAATAGTATTACTAAAAGTTGGAGAGATTTTACACATATAAAGACATTATTTTTAAAAGAATTTTTATTTAAGGATATTACTTTTTTATTGAATTAATCAAGGTAATATACCTTTTAAAAATTTCAAATCAAAGATATTACTTATTCAATTTTACTATTTAAGAATTAATTGGATGTCAATACTAACTTGGCAAACGGATTTCGTCTATGGGACCCACTAAATTGCTAATGTGTAAAAAAATTGACAATTGGCTGCCCGACTTGGAGCTGATTTGGACAACATAGAATTCTTAATGAATAGTATCGACACCGAAACATGTGGTGTTGGCACCGAATTTGTGTCGACAATTCTTCATAATGTTTAGGAAAAATTAATTAAAATTAAGGTAAAATAAATTAGTAAATAAATCCTAAAAAGATTGAAGTAGCATATAGAATCCTTCTAAAATAGCTTTTTGAAAGTTCAAATAATAATATTTTCACACCTATCAAAACATTAAAAAATTATAGAAGATTCAAACTCTTACTCTGTTTTTCATTGTTGATTAAAAAAACTACACAATTTTGAAAAATAACTTATTATTGGAGATCTTTTTGTTTGTTATTTTCATAATGTCAAGGTAAAATTATTTATTTTATTCTTTTTTTTTTTTTTTGTAAATAACTCTCAAGGAATTGTTTATTTCATATCTAAGAATTGTTTTTAATGTGAAAGATGCATTCTCTAACCCTTGAGGAAGTGAAAGTGCAAAAAACAATGGAAAAAAGGTGAGTATTTTTTTTTTTATATATATTGATATTATTACACTATTTAAAAGCATATAAATATGTAATATCATATTCATGTAATTTTGTATTTTTTGTCATGCAAGGATTTTGAAAAGCTTACACAAAAGAGATAAAAGAAAAATAATTATAATATTCAAAGTGAATCATCCAACTCTTTACATAGACAACTTTCTTCACAGGCAACAAAATGTTTTACACAATGAAGTCAAAATTTTCAAACATAGACGAGTCATGATAACTTCTTAAATTTGTTATTTTTGCTAATATAGTTGTTAAAAATTCATTATAATACATTGAATAAATTTTTTATTTAAAATATTTTCATATAATATATCCAAATGATAAATTAATTTTAATAAATCTATATAATGTACCTTATTGTGTTTAACTAATCTATATATTCATTATAATTTATGATTTTTCTTTAATTTTATATTTTTTTTTGTTAAAATGAATAAAAGGAAAATGGATCCTCCAACACAGGTTGGGTGCCGACACCATCCTTTTTAGTGTTGACACTCATGCATGTTGTCCAAACTAGCTCCAAGTCGGAGCAGCCACCCATCAATTTTTGACATATCAGCAATTTAGTGTGTCCTGCAACAGAATCCATTAGCCAAGTCACCATTGTCATTCAATTAATCCTTGAATAGTAAAGTTAAAAATATGATATCATTGCTTAGAAATATTTTAAAAATAATAACCTTGATTAGTTCAATAAAAAAGTAATATCTTTAATTAGAAAATTTTTTTAAAATGATATATATATAAAATCTCAAAAGTTGGAACATGGATTTTGATGAATGTTAGCCAGTCTACGAATCATTTTTGATTTTATGAATATAATCATCTCATATCTATATCTACTACACTGGAATGATCAATATATCAAGGGAAAAATGCATAATCCCTCTCTCTCTCTCTCTCTCTCTCTCTCTCTCTCTCTCTCTCTCTCTCTCTCTCT